ATCTTATCCCAATCCTTCAAAGTAAACGTATGTTTAAGTAATTATCTCCTCCTATCATGCAAAGTAAACGAGGCCCTACTGTATTATAATTTATACATTACCTGTCACCTATTAAGAAAGAGCAACTATTAGAAAAAATACAAGTTCCTAATTATTAAATTATTCCAAATTAATTATGAAGTGTTTAAAACAGTCTATTGAGCATAAACTTTAATTTATTATGAGATGGTCTTTATTAAAGGAAGTTTGAAATGCTACTATGGAATGTTTAGTTCTATTGTACTCTAATCGATTTAGAACCGTCGAATTATACACAACCATACACACACAGTGGTAGGCAAGTAGTCATCTATACAAGTTGTTAACATCACAAATCTTACTAGTTTCTATTACAATATAATATCATTTTTTATCCAAGTTAAGAATTAATTTTTAATTTATACTATCACAAATTATTGTACGAGGTTGTCTAACTATTAGAATGTTAATGGGTTATATTCTTTTTTTTTTTCAAACAAAAAGTGTACGAGGTTGTCTAACTATTAGAATGTTAATGGGTTATATTCTTTTTTTTTTTCAAACAAAAAGGCATGCTTTATATTATAAAATATCATATTTTTATTTATCATATTATTTAGAACACGATAAGTCATTATCGTTTGAAAGTATATGAATTTATTGAAAAATATTATGTTACTCCACGAGAAAATAGTTCTGCCAATTTTTAAAAGCCTTTCCCAATTGCTTCATTAGAAAATGTGTGCATGCCTCATTAATTCAATTATTCAAGTCAGTGAATTTTAATTTGCTTACCACAAATTTTAAAGAATTTATTGTTGCATCATTGCTTTGAACATCTCCACATAAACACATACAAAGAGGGACCTTACTTTAAATTAAATGCAATTTGGACATATGTCGATGTATCAAGTTATGATAAAAGAGTTATTCGCTGGCTCCATAGAATTTATGCAATAAATATTAGTAAATACTAATACTAGATACCTTCTTTAAAGATAGTAAAACGTTTATTATTATTATTGTTATTATTATTATCATTATTATTATTTAAGTTGACCGAGGAATAATCTTATTACTTTAATACAATATCATTTTGAAATATTTTTACTTAATTTTCAACAATAATGATTTATTTTCTTACTGTAAGGATCTAGGCATGTTTTTCTGGGGTGAGGTATAATCTTAATTTTCGATTCCACTTCTCTAATTTTCCTTCCATCACTTCTCCTCCTCCTTTCTCTTTCACTTCTCCTCCTCTCTTCTCCTCCTTTCTCTTTCTTTTTTCTTCTTATTTCTCCAGATCCAAATTTGTGTGGGAACGACATAGATCCATATTGATGGGATAATATGACTATCTTTTCCACAACTTGCCACCGCCTCCGTCTCCCCGCGCGCTCCTGCTCGGACCTCTTTCAACCGACCGCAAGCTTCACACGGCCGCTCAGACAGTAGATCCACGCCGATGATGAAGGTGGTAATCGAAAAGGTGTGCTTTACTAATTTATTTTTTTTATATTTTTTTTGGTTGGGGGTCTCATTGATTGACATTTGAATCTCATATCTGGTTGGATTTTATTTGAATTTTTGCTTAAATATCCTTTGATTTTTGAAACAACGATTTGATTTTTTCGCTCTTGAATGAAAATTCTCGTCGGATCCCCAATTGGTTCATTGCGAAAAATTGTTGACGAAATTTCGCTCGAAACCCGAGACACAAACCGATTCAATGACCAAAATTCTTTGCAGGTTGGGATGTTGTTCGACGATTTGTCGAGATCACGATGCTTGTTGGGCGTACTACCCTTTCGGATCCCTGTGCCGACATTATATTTTTAATATGTTGTGCACATATCTGATGTAATCTCGGCTGAAAGAATATTCATTCATTTATGCTGGGTTTGTTTTTAGTAAATCTGATGTTTATTGATGTATTATGGTTAATGTTTTTTTTATTATTATTATTTGTAGTTTATGTTCAGTTTTATTTTTGTATATGAGTTTATTATATATTTGCTTGTTCTTAATTTAGTTAAAAAATGGTAAAAGAAAACTTAAGATAAACCGTATGGTTAATAATTTTTTTCTTATTATTTGTAGTTTATATTAAGTTTTATTTTGTATATGAATTTATTGTATATTTGCTTGTTTTTAATTTAGTTAAAAATTGGTAATAAACTTAACATAAACTGTATGGTTAATGATTTTTTTTATTATTATTTATAGTTTATCTTAAGTTTTATTTTGAATATGAATTTATTGTATATTTGCTTGTTCTTAATTTAGTTAAAACCTGATAATAAACTTAAGATAAACTGGTAATAAACTTAAAATAAATTGGTAATAAACTTAAGATAAACTAATAATAAACTGTAAGAATAATGTAATAAACCTAATATAAATTAAAAATAAACTAAAAAAAGTTGACTGAAGAGAAAGAAAAAGAAAAGTTGAAAGAAGCAAAAGAGGGTAGATTTTAATTAGGAAAGGGATTGGAGTTCAAAAATGGAATTGTTTAAAGATGCTCGTATTTGGGGTAACTGTTTTCGAAAGAAGTATAAATGTGTCCTTTAGCCATGATTAATGGCCCGGATACTTGGGTGTAACGCCCCACTTTTATTTGCCAAAAATCAAAATAAATTTTTCAAAATTTATTATAAGCATTTGTGGCATTACTCATTTATGTCGAATCATTACCATAACATAAATCATCTAACTCCCAAAACGGGATTCATAAATCCATAAATCCTCAATTTGCCCAAAACGGGTTCCCAAAATAAATCTCAAGTTTAAAGACATGACAATGTCAACGGGGCATCTCCCCAATAGTATCTCAATACTCCATAAATTCTCAAAGTTCGAAAATGCATAAATCATAAATAGTCATAAATATAGCGGAAGCAAAATCAATTAATAAGCGGTCTCATAGATCGACCACCACTCGCTCTACTCCGCCGTCGTACCTGCCTCGATTAACCTGAAACGTGAATTTCAGGTGGGGATGAGCACAATTGGAAAAAGTAGTGCTCACCACTATGCAGCAAACAGTATTCACAATAATGAAACAGTAATCAATAATCAATAAGGTATGGTCTCAACATGTATACGAATCAATTAATTATCCCAATCTCCTATCAATCATATCAATAATAGACTCGTGTGCACATCTATAGCAATAGACTACTGCCGAACTATATACCGAACGCCTTATCTAAGGCCTTACAACGAGTGTCCGGCCAGTAGGAGTATCCCGTCGGCCAAGGCCTCACCTTGGTCTTACCAACGGGGTTGTCCAGCACAGGGACCTTTAACCCAGGACTTACGGCTCAAAAAGTGTCCAACACAGGGACCTTTAACCCAGGACTTACGGCTCAAAATGTTCCAGCACAGGGACCTTTAACCCAGGACTTACGGCTCAAAATGTGTCCAGCACAGGGACCTTTAACCCAGAACTTACGGCTCAAAATGTGTCCAGCACAGGGACCTTTAACCCAGGACTTACGGCTCACAATAATAAGGAGACTACCCAACGGGTACGTTCTATATATACGGGGATAACCGTTCGATGGCCGATACAGCTCACATCGAAGGCTACATGTTCCACATGCATACTTGATCATACCAAAAATTTAAAACAGTAATAACATTTACCGCATAGACAATTTTACATTAAACCCACCTGGAGTTCGGAAATATCAAATGCAAGTGCTCACGATAAGTTCGAGGGCTCGACTCCTCGGAAACCTAAAAATTAGGAATTTAATTATTATTATTGGTTTTTATTGGGTTGGTTAGGCCACACAAGCAAGGCAAACATATCAAATTAAGCACATAAAACAAGCAATGAATTAGATAATTTCTACTAACTTTCTGAAATAAATTCCTTTTTAACCACGGAAATTAATATGGCCGCGGGCACGCAATCCTCAGCCAAAACAAAGCCACCATTAAAAGTCTTCTCCTCTTCTTAGACTTTTAATTAACTTCTTAAGCATGCTTATCATATAAAATAAGCTCAGCAACTGAGCAAGATCACGTGGCCAAATAGCAACAAATATTCATACATACATGCTTTCATTTCCCACTTCTATCAACACTTGAGCATGCCCTTTTCAAAACACTCAAAGCTGGGAGTTATAAGCCACAAACTCAGCATAACAACAATATACTTAGGCATAAAATTGTACTTGATAACATTCCCCATAACTCTCAAATAAACAAAGTATAAATGGCACCAGAACATGTTTCTTTTGGCTCAACCAGCATGCACAAAACAAACCAGTAACAACAACTCAACTATTATGCATCCATTTTGCTCTACTAAACTCTAACCAAAATTAGTACGACAAGAAGGCTTTTAAGCTGAACGAACAACCTATTCTAACACCTAAAAAAAAATCCGCATATACTCAGCTCATAGCAAATGATTAAGACAACAACCTCCAAACATAATTAAAGCGGGTAAAGTATCATATAGTCCAAAACATGCTAGCTCATGAATAATAATAGCAAATAACAACATAAACATCACAGTAAGGCTCATCATAAACAACATAGAACCAGGCCAAAACAAGAAAGTCATTTAGTCCTTAGCATATAACCAACAGCAACAATGCCTCAGCAAAGTTCAAACACGTAAGGCAACAAAATCACTCGACATAGGCATAATGTTTACACCGAAAATCAAGCACAAATAAACCATAACATCTTAGCCATATGGAGGGTAAAAAGGGGTCAGCTATAATACCTACTGAAAAGAGGGCACATCCCCTGGAGACGATCGACAAGCCCCGGGCTGCTGCCCGGTAACCGGACGTGGGAAAACAGGCTGTTCGGGGCTCTCGGCAAAGGATCGACCCACTTCTGTTCTCGCCCGGGACCCAAGAGGGCTGCTGCAGCTCAGAATTGAAACCGACGGTTGCTCGATAAGAGCCTCGAGCGGCTGCTGTTCGTTGCCGGAAAAAGCTCGGGTCTACACGGCTATGGCGAACGGCTGGGTGCACTCGTTCGCCGGCAGGGCTGCTCGAATCTTCGCTAAGGGTCAGCCTTCGACAGTCGCGCTTGGTCTCTTCAGCCGTCGGGAAATGAAGCTCTTCGCCGGCGTTTTCCCGCTTTCGATTGCACGATTTCTGACGCCTAGAACTCGCCGGACTGGTGCTGCTCTTGCCGGAAATCCCGTCGCTGAGGCTTGGTGCTCTTGCCGTCGGATGGCCGGAGGTTAGAGTTTGAAGGGATCGAGGCTCAGTCGGGCTAGAGGTCAGAGGTTGGATCGCGGCTCGACGTCGAGAATAGATCCGCCGCTGCTGCTCGTTCTCGGTTCACCTACCTCGCGTCGCCGGGAATCTCGTCGTTGGGCCGATTCGGCTGCTCTCGCCGGGAAATTGGACTCAGGTCGTGGAGGACCTTGGGAATCGCGGCTCGAGATAGAAGCTAGTTGTCCGTCTAAAGATCGGAGGTCAGAGCTCAAAGGTCTCGGAGGTCGTCGGCGCGCACGGACTCCTCGTAGCCAGAAATGGCTGGCTCTCGAATTCGCTGGTTCTGCTCGTAGTCGGGCTGGTGGTGATCGACTCGCCGGAACATTGTGCCCTTGCTGTCGAAAAAAAACAAAGCTCTGCCGTGAGGGATGGCTGGTACAATTGGGCCATCTCTGCGAATTCTCTGTGAACTTTTTACTGAAGGAGAAAATGAGAGTGGCGGCTAATTGGAGGGTTCCTTAAATAGGTGGAAAAATAGGGCTTGAAGGGAAGAGAGATATGTGGGTGAGCTCGCCGGATTTCAAGCAGGTCGGGCGTCGTGGTCGCTGCTGGTGGCGGATTGATGGCCGAGAAAAGAGGGGAAGTTCAAGTTAGCTGCGACTCGTTCTTCTCTGCTCAAAATGAGAGAGACTGAAAGTGGGATTTGGTGGCAATTAAAAATGGGCCGATAATGGGTTGCTTATTATTAGTTTGGGCCGACAACTTAGCAACTCTTAGGTACTCTTGGGCTAGATATATCAATAAATTGGGTCGGAACCAATTTAATCGGCCGAAAGAAATATAACGCGACAACGAGAGTTCTCAATCGATACGATTGACGATAAAAATAAAACGGATATTATTTATATTTATAATACACACAATTATAAAATAATAATATTATTAATAATACAAATACACCCATAATATTAAATAATAAATATCATTTAGACAATTAGACATTATAATCGCAAATTGACAGATAAATCATTTTAGGCATTTAATAATATTTAGTATTCAATAATAATAACAACAAATAAAGGTAAATAATAATAATCATTATAATAATAATAATAATAATAATAATAATAATAATAAAAATAATAAATTCCCAAATATTCTATAATCAAACAGGGCATTACATTGGGCTTGTATGAGCATTTGAGGGTTGTTCACAAAGTCGAGCCCACTATACGTATCTACAAATAGGTATTTTTCGGGTAAAATTTATGCTGTCCGGCCGTGTTCATATTTCACAATCATATTTTACGTTCGTAAATCGTTCACGGGTAGTTATTTCATATTAAGGATGAATATCAAATTGTACTTTATGTAAAACTTTCTTAATTTTGATCATCTTACATTCTCATGGAAATATTGATATCCATAGCATATTTAGTGCACTCTAGTGTACTACACAATACAAGAGCTGATAACATTAGCTAACAAAGTGGTTTAGTATAAGAAAAATGCTACAAGCACATAATAAATGTACATAGAGGTGAACATAACATTCACATGGAGTGAAGTTCACTTGACTTTTTATTTTTGGTGGGTCCCGCTTAATATGAGTGTTATGTACACCCCTATATTATGTACCTTTAGCATTTCTCGTAATAAAAATACAAAAGAAGTCCAATTCTCTCCCAAAATTGCAAACAAAACTGAAACTCTTGATTTTTGTTTTGCAAATTGCACCCTCAAGTAGGGTTGTAAATGAGCCGAGCTCGAGCTCGAGCACCCTCTCCTTAAATAAACGAGCCTGAAATCGAGCTCGAGCTCGACTCTAACACCTATAACGAGCCGATATCGAGTTTTAACGAGCCACAAGCCGAACTATAAAAAATTATATAAAAATGCCTTAATGAGCCTTACGGCTCGGCTCCTTCACCAAACGAGCATTAAATGAGCTCGAGAGCCGAGCCGAACTCAAGAGTCGTGATAAACCCTCCAGCCTTGAGGGGTGTTTTGGAACTGGAGTTCTTTATGAAATTAAGCTAAACCAAGGGTATGCATTGTAATTCCTCCCAAATAATCTAATCACACTCAAGAACAAAGAGTAAATCCGGGTTATGGAAAAGGATCACAGTTTGATCACACACACGCACGCACATACATACCCACATGGGTATGTGTGCTGAGAAACCCGGTGTGTGCATTGCACACATCTGTAGAGTGAAATCTAACCCGTGTTTTTTTTTTTTAATCAACTTCAAAATCGATACTTATTGTCCAAGTACTAAACTGAAGCAAGTAGAAGCAGATTTTCGGATATTTTCCAGTTCATGCCAATATGAACAACTAATGCGAATATCCTACAAATGAACAAAAACCCAACTTTTTCACCACAGGGCCACGAACAATTCCAAACGACACAAACATAATAACATATCCGAACAAGTGAAAATAAAGCAATTACCTGGTCTAGTATGGATGCCTATTTTTGAGTTCATCCCAGCAGAACTCGAAAAAAAAAGCAATTTTTTTTTTTGGCACAACAATCCCAAGAGGCAGTTATAACTGATTACCCAGTTGGTCAGAACACATCATTTTCTTCAACTCCTTCCAATGCTCCAGTCCTCCGGGATAAGGCTTCACGTAAAGCCTCACAAATTTTTCATCTCCACTCGATAACAGAGTGCTTAAGGACAAATTCGCACGATCTTCAACATTAACTTTAAGCCATTTATGCATTAAAAGCCTCATCTTCACACGCTCCACCTTATACGAGAGGGTTTTGGGAAAAGAAACCAAATCGGACATCGAGTAGCCTAACTCCTTCGCAAAAGAATCGATCTTGCTCTTCATAACGTCGATCGTCTGGTTAAGAATCTGTGGGTTTAATTTAACCATTTTCATAACATCCTCACGTCTGAATCCGATCTTGACCAAAAAATCACACCTCTCTTGAAGCTCGTCCCCTCTTCCTCGGAAATGCTTGAAAGCCTTTTCCATCTCGGTTGAGTTCTCCTCAAAGCCTAAGCTCAGCAAGAACTCGGTTTTCATCTTTCGTACAGTTACACACCTCTTCTGCACTGGTAGAGGAGTTAGTTTTTTCCCGTGGACCCATTTTCTCAACACAAACGGGTCTTCCTTGACCAATTGACACAGCGTGGCTTGACAGTTGTTGAAATGACGAAATACAGTCGATGCCTTCCTGATATTACATGATCCCAAAAGCATTGCATGCAAAGAAACAATTTTACCGATTTCTTGAGCATCCATGTTGATTTTGACGAAAAACTCGTAACAACGCAAGAAATTACGCGTGAATTTCATAACAGGAATATGTGGAAACTCAAGGAGCAAGTTTTGTATGCTGCTCGATGTGTGCCGGAATTTCAACAAGGAGACAAACAAGCAAAACGTAAAGCGTCCAGAGGATTGAAGAAGAATACTCGGATGTAAAGTAAGTAAGTGGTGTAGTTGTTCCTCGCCAAAACCCAAATCGCGTAAAAAGCGCATGAGCTCGAGCATGCGATTCCAATCATACGACTCCTCTACGGAAATATTTTCTTCCAGCCAGTCATATTCTATTCCTAAATTCTTTAAATTTTCCAAGAGATTCACAAAGTTACGGTCCACGCTGCCAACAAGAAGACGAGGACTTGAAGCAATAATCTTGCCAATGAGAGACTGTTTCAACCCGAATTCTTGAAAAGATTGAAGCTTTGACAACAAAACACCATCATCATACCGAAAAACCTCTCTAACCTCTTTATAAATCTTCCCTATCCTATTACGGGGAATGCCATAATTGCACAGGACGTAATAGTTTTCCAGCAGTAACTCGTCGTCATTTAAAAACATCAAATTCTGCGGGAGAAGAGACGAGCATTCGGAAGGTTTCAAACCTATGCTCTCGAAGAATGGCTCAAATTCATTAATGGGATGGTACCTTAAGAACCTGGCGAACGAGGGTCCGACATTAGCATCATCTATGTTGACTCTCTTCAACAATTTATCAAAAAAAGCGGGGGTATTTTTGCTCATATTTTCAGCATCCAAAATCTGCAAACTCCTGGTGCAATGAAAATAATCCAGCAAAGCATCTTTAGCTTCTGCTTTCACCGAACGGGATTTTTTAGCTAGTTCGCCAAGGTTGCCGCTACGTTTCAAATTCGAAGCACCCTCAGTTCGGAACCGACGGTGCTGCAAAATACGGCGCGGCCCAGCAACGTGATAATAATAATTTGAAAAGCTATTACAGAAATCTTTGGCGCATAATAATGAGACCCATTTGGAAAATTGGGGCATTAGACGTTTATTTAATCTGCTCATCTTCGAATCAGTAGGATTTTGAACTAAAGTTCTTACCTTTACAGGATTTCTTGAAGGTTTAATGCCATGGAAGCTTTCAGCGGGTGACGCCGTTTGGAGAAAATACGGTGAAGGCTTGGAGCCTTATTGATTTTTTTATTTTTATTTTTTTTCTCTTTTTCTTTCTGGCTTGGAAAGGGGTTTAGCAATGGGGGGCGAGAGGTTGAAGAAATGCTAGTGGCAATTATGACTTTGGGGTGTGAAGTTTTAGGTTTTACATTTTTGAATAGTTTTAGTTTGGTCGAAGTGTAAGCCCATCTAGAATAAGTGGAGATACGCCCAATAGGCTATCTTAAAGTGTGACATTATGGGCCTAGAGAGGTTTTAATTGTGAAATTAAAAATGTGTAATGTGTTTTAATATAATTTAAATTTATAATATAATCTAAATAGTTTAAATTTCAACTCCACATATGATATGAGAAGTGTATTGAGGTAAGTAAAAAGTCCTATACATATACAATGCATCAAACTATAGTATTGCTACTCTTTATTGTTGGTCCAATGTTTATTCTTTGTTAGTTGACTGATCGTTCGGAAGCTTGTTTTTCCTATCTAAACACAAGAAAATTAGATTTTCAAGTATTGATTATTCGAGACGAATTAGAATGGATCCTACCTTCTCAATCAAAAGAATCAAAATAAGTCAAGTGATCATAGTGTAAGAGAACATTACTACATAAATAAATAATAAAAAGCACAATTAATGTAGACCACCCATTTAAAATAATTTCAAATATCAACATAGTGAATTTTATATTTTGGTAGAGTACATAAATATATGTTTTCCTTTTTATTCCCTAAATTGCCGAAAAGGGCCAAACCCAACACGCAACTCGACCCCCATACCACGCTTACAAAGTAATAAAACCAATCTCAGCCGTCCATCGCCCATCTTGCCCGCACGCTATTAAGACCTACCGATCCACACACCGCAGTAAATTTCACCGTATTTCATTTTGTCAAACATTCTATCCGTTTATTAAAAATAATTTAATACTATTATTTATATAATTTTTTTTCACCCGAATGTATTTATACATACAGCCGTATACGTATTTTTCCCGGATCTGAGGCTCGTCGGAGCACGCCGGCGCTTAAACCCGAGACCTTAAACTTTTTTTCTACGTTCCATCTGAAAAACCCTAAAAGGCCCTTTTCTCTTTCGACCCTTTTTTACTTTATTTTTTCTTTCTGGGCCCTCAGATCTTTCAACCTGCTGCAAACGGAGACTCTGAAAAACTGTTATCTTGTGGTGGCTTGTTGCCGTCTTGACTGTAAAAGAGCTTTTTTTTCTTCAGTTGGTGAGTTTTGTTGTAGGCTGCGTGTTTGAATATCTTTTGGGTTTTTGTGTCTTTTTTTTTTTGCTTGTTTAGATAAAGTATAGAAGAGTTTATTAGATTTTTGGTGTAGTTCAGAGGTCACGCGAGTGTACCTTATTAGATACGTTGTTTAGTTTTGTGGAGAAAATGTTTGCATGCAATGTTGGAACTGAGCTTTTCACTCATGGCTCCAGTTCAGTTTTATGAGCTGGAATGAGTACACAAAGATACTTGACTTGTATTGCCATTAAGGTGTGTAGTGCCCTGTCTTATGTGTTTCGTCTTGATAGTAACTTATAAGGCTTATTTTGGCAAAGAATCCAGTATGTACTTGAACTATTTTTCCGGAGAAAGACGACTCACCACTTATTGTTCTGTTGCATTTTGCTTAGAAGTCTGGAAAATGCTAAAGCTGTGTTCTTGCATTTCTAATTTAAGGATGTTCTTTTCCTTTTTATTAATTTTGACGGCCCTGAATATAAACATGAGAGAACAATGTGGTCTTATAAGATAAGGTCCGAGTCTAAGAATTTATCGGGCCATAACTTTGTAGTCCAAATTGTAAATGCCTGTCGAATGGAATTACATATAATTATTTGGATCACATGGTTAGGTCCTTGCAATTTTGTATTTTTTTTTTACATTTAAATATTAAGTCAACAGAATGAGTAAGAGGGTATGTGTGTGCAACCAGATTAGCATCATTATTTTAGGCAGGTGATTCAATTAATATCTACATTGCAACTGGTTCTGAATAGCTTTGAGGTGGACCTGTGAGTTGGAACGGAATTTCAATGTAATGAGTTACTTTGTGCTTGTTAGAGACTGTAAAGTCTTTTATGGAAAGAACCTAAATTGTTATGAAGCTTAGCAAGAATAGTGGATACAATGGTAGATGTCATATGAGTGGTGTTTTAATTGCTAATCAGTATGAGTTTAAAATACTCTTCTTCTCTATTTACATGGTCAAAATTAAATGCCTCTTCAATATGAGATACTTCATGGCTTTCTGTATAAATAACTGCTGAAGATAAAAGTTGCGGTGATTCTTTTGTTTTACTACAAGAAACTTTCCCCTCCAACTATGGAGTGATCCACAAAAGTTTCAAAGAATTGTTTATTCCAGTTTACCTCTTTTTGTGGGATTATAATTGTTGCTAGGTAATTAAGAGTTGTGCGCCGTTGCATAATCTTCGTCTGTAAATCTTGCATATGGCTGATCCTTTTAGTTGTTTTTGATTTGTTTGCTTTATGGGGAAGAGAGACATTTATGTTTGTACATTATGCTTTTTGTGGTTTTTCTGAGTACCTATTGGTTATTAAGGAACATTCAGTTGCCTTTGTGTGTGTTCTTCTGTTTCATCTGGATTACTTTTGCGACGATCCAAATCATGGGTTCTTTTTGTTTTCACTTGACAATGCTGCACAAATGCAAATTTCACACTCCAAGGGCAACCTGAAAACTGTTAGGAGACTGTGCATGTTGCCTGTAGTTGTGCTTGTTGTTCATCTGAGTTTCCCCTTAGTCTTAAATCATTAGTGTTAGACTTTAATTCTCTCTTTCAGTTTGCCTTCTGATTTCTCTAACAAGCCATTTTCCTGAAGTTATATCAACTGGCTTATATAGAAACCACATGGATGTCTATATGCATTTCTTTTGAAATCAATTGCATCTTTCTCCACTTATTACCATATATTTATTTACTTTTATCTTGTTTTTCGCTGTAGTTTTAATTATGTGATAGGCATACTGGGGAAATGATGGCCTCCAAGGGTCCAAGATCCAAACTGGACCATGAGTCACGGGCTAAGCGGCAGAAGGTGAGCACTTCAACTTTATTTTGGCGAGCTTCAAGATGCACGTTGTATGGATGCGATTTGAAATGGACACAACTAGCTGAAATGAATATCTCTAGTTTAGTCTGAGGTCCATTGGTTTGGCATTCCTAAGATTTGGTGGAATTATCCTCGTTATTTTCAAAAGTTGTCTTCATCATGTTCTTTTATGTCTAAAGTATTTCATAACATTTTTTGTTCACATACAAAATTTCTCTCTGCAGAAAAATAAATTCATTTGGGACCCTGAAATGGTTTTATTGTTGACCAGCTAAAGTAGTTTCATATCAATGTAATTAAGCTGCATGGATCCTTGGATCAAGTGCATCCAAATGGATTGCCTCAAATTTCATTTTTGAGAGGACCTGTTTTGTTCAATCAATTGCTAGCTGATTGTAGCAAGGACCTTTTCTTGATTTTTTTCCTTGTAGTGTAACTACTTATCTCGGCATTTTGTTTGTTTCATCCTAGGCACTTGAGGCTCCGAAAGAACCTCAACGCCCTAAAACTCATTGGGACCATGTGCTTGAAGAGATGGTCTGGTTGTCTAAGGTAACAAAATATATTTTGTTTTGACACTTTGCTCGATTTGTTATCATAGTTAACATGCTTGGCTTATTCATGCTTATGATTGTTTTAACTGTAGGACTTTGAGGCAGAGAGGAAATGGAAACTTGCTCAGGCAAAGAAAGTTGCAATAAGAGGCAGCAAGGGCATGCTCGATCAGGCCACTAGAGGGGAGAAAAGAATAAAGGTGCTCGGTATCCTTATCTCATATTAATGTGAAGATGTATATACTTGGTCATAATACATTCGGTCTGCTAGTTTCTGATTCTTAATTGCAAAATTGATCAGGAAGAGGAGCAGAAGTTAAGAAAAGTGGCACTGAATATGTCCAAGGATGTCAAGAAATTCTGGTCAAAAATAGAGAAGCTGGCAAGTCATTATAAAAAAGATGCTTATTAAAACTTACTAGTGTTGATACCCGTGCGATGCACGGGACGCAATACAAAAAATGTTTATTATTTAAATATTATAAAATTATTTAAGACAATATGAAATTATATTCTCCACAATATTCTATTCAGTAATAATATGACATTTATTTATTTATTATTATTGTTAATTTCTATTTTTGTATTTTTTTGTAGTTTTTGACTATTTAATATATAAATCTTATTATTTATAAGTTTATAAAATATTTTAAATGTATAAGATCATATGATATTTGCATACAAATTATTTGTATATACTTATAAAATCGTTGTTTATTATAGTCTTATGATTTTTTAACAATTCATAATTTGCACATTGCTTGATAATTGACCAACGATTAACCCATAATATTTATCTTCGTCTAGAATTATTAAGTTCATTAAATGTTAAAAACTTTGATAAACAAACTTTAATTTTTATTGACTTTAATCCTTATGCAACACACAAATTTTTTATGGTTAAATATTTTATTTTTATCTATTTTTATTTATATTTATTTCTTTAATTAATTTTTTCAACCTATATAATGAATTACATAGTATCTATTCGAATATTTTGATATATTATATATTTTCATAATTACCAAGTGCTATAATCTAAATTATTATACATTGCTTTTTTATTAACTTATTTTTCATTTATAAAATAGTATATAAGAAAAGAATAAATATTTTTAAAAATTGAATAGTTTTTAATGTACATAGGTACTTCTAAGGTGGAATTTATAATTCTGAATTGCACCCGACCATCAAATTTTATTTTTATTAGTATTATTTAAATTTTCAATACTGTTATTACTGCATATGAT